GCCAGCCGGAACCTTGATCCTCCTATTTATACTTTCCACCATAGTTGAGATAAGGGACCTGTACTACCACACCCAGCTTTTACTGTTGAGATAGACTTTTTTTGTTCTTGTAAACTTTTTTGTTATTTTCAATTCACTCTTTCCTGGAACCACCATCTCCCTTATTTCTGCTTCCCACAGAGCTGAGATGACAGGCTCATGGCACTGACTTACAGCTGTTGATTGAGAATTAGGGTCTCACAAACTTTCTGGCCCAGGCTAGCCTCAAAGCACAATCGCCGCCCATCAGAGAGCTATGATTGTATGTGTGAGTCAAATGCCTGGCTTAGACTTTCCTTCTTAAGTAGAAGATTCAGGCTAGGGCCTTTTGGCTATAACACCACAGATGTCTCCGTTGAGATTTGCTGGGTTTTCCAAAGAACAACTATTGCTTCGTTCTCCAATACCATGAAGACTGAACTCTTGCAGTCCAATTCCATTCTGTGGCTATAACTGCCTAGCTTCAACACAAACCCTTCCTGCAAAGGGCTCACACTCCTGTCCTACATAGAATCTAACCATACTTCCTCTATGCTACTTCAGTTCAGAGTTCCCCAGGACCCACCTTGATTTCAGTAAGGTGACAAAATGACTCACAGAACTCAGGAAAGAAAGCATGATCTGTGAAGTGGCTACTGGGAAAGACATCTTAATGGAAGAGAAAGAGGTCAGAGAATGTCCTTGCTTGCTGGGCACAGCAACAGCCCAATACACTGGGTGCCCACCAACCCAAAGTTCTACTAACCTGATCTTCTGAGATTTGAGATTGAAGTTTTGTCCTGAAGACATAATTGAGCTAATCATTGGCCATCGATAACTGAACCCAGTCACTAACCCTATCCCCTTTCTAGAAGCAATCTTTGTCTCCCTCACACTTTGTAAGACATCTCATCTGCATAAACTTAGGAAAGGTGTTGTAAATATCAGGAAATTGTATCAGTCTTAGATTTGTGGCAAAGAGTGGAGACCATGACCAAATGCATTTTATTTTATTATATCACAGCCTTTGTGCATATTATCAGCAGGTACCCAGTACAAGTTTCCTCCCAGGACTGAAGATGTTGGGTATTTGATTTGAACATTTATGAGTAGTCTAAGTTGTGAACACACTGATTTCCCAACTCCATTGTATCTTGTTAGAAGCATCTAGTATAAGGAAGAACTTTGCTTTCTCCTTTAATTAGTTATGTATTTATATCAGTGTGGGCTCATTGATTCTTATTTAGTAGATTATGATCTGGTTTTTTTTGGTTGGTTCTGAGGTTAAACTCAGGGCACTCTATCACTTGAGCCATGCCTCCAGCCCAGCTTTTGTTCTGGTTAGTTTGGAAATGGGGTACTCTCTCACTACAAGTTGCATTTTCCCCTTTATGCACATGTGTAGTCATTTGTTTTGATCATATATTAACTATTGTCTGAATTTCACTGTGAACATTTAAGATAGAAATGGATTCATTCTGTAGGCAGGAGAATTACCATTACATCCTTCTGATGTTATCAGGCTTGGTCTGATGATGTGCTAAACTGGCTCTATTCTAGAAAGTATCCAAACTATATGGTGTAGGCCTTACTCCTAGGAGTAATCTGTTCTTGAATGAATTGAGTGACTAAAGTGCTTCTCTGCTCTGGCTGGACTGGAATTAATTAATGTCTCTGTGCGTGTGTCTCAGGTTTATAGCAACATTTAGTGTTGAGTCAGGTGCAGGTAATTTTTGCTGGTCCTGTTGGAATTTTACCCTGTACAGTTCCAAAGTGAATTAGTCACTCAGTCTTGCTTCTTACTCACTCTTCCTTAATACACACACACTTAATACACACGTGCACACACACAGAGGGAGCCTATTTTGCTCTACAAATCCCAGCCACTTTAGAACTCTATTCAGTTCTTTTTGGAACTGTGGTTCCACTTGAGTCCACTTGGCCTTTAAAAAAAAAAAGTGCTCCAGCCCAGGCAGAAAGCCAGTGTTGAATGGTCAGCCTGAGTCCTTTCCTTTTTACTGTCTGTGGCTTTGGAGAATTCTAGCTGTCTTCAGCCAGAGGGCAAGTCCATACCCATCCCTTTGTTATGCAAGCGGATATCCCAAGCTTGTGTTTCTTCATGCAGTTATTTTCTCATAAACAGTTAAAAAAATAACCTCAGTAACCGTAGAATCTCAGTTTTTAATTTGGTGTTTCTTGGACATGATGAGACATCCTCTACGCATATTGCTTTTGTACCCTAAAATGTTTGCAACTGTGGAAGTGAAAATGGAGCCAGACATTGATGGCTGATACCTATAATCCTAGCAATTTAGGTGGCTAAGATTTGGGGAATACCAGTTCAAAGCTGGGAGACTCTTACCTCTAATTACCCACCAAAAAGCCAGAAGTAAAGTTGTGGCTCAAGTGGTTGAGTGCATAGGTTCTGAGTTCAAGCCCCAGTATCTACCCCAAGATAGTATTCCTGATAAATCCTGCTTTTCTTAGGTCCCAAAGTGGCTGCCAGGTAAATGCTCAGAGCAAAGACATGCAAAGATAGAGGCAGAGATGCCCAGCTTTTTAATTTGTCCAAGTAAGGTGTCGGAGCTTTTTAGCAAGAGCAATTGAAGTACCATTTACTATAGGAAAACTGTTTGGAGTTTTGCCAGGAATTTGGTGCTTTATTAAAATTGAAATTGAAGGGCATTTCACATCTCCCCATCAATGAAGAGTGAGCTCAGGACTGCTGTTGATTTTAGTGTAACTACACACACACACACACACACACACACACACAGCTGTGAAAGTCCTACTAATCTCCATCTGTCAAACTTTATTTACTATTTGATTAGGTAGTTTGGGTCGAATCTTCTTTCTAAATTGATTTTGTCATTATAATATTCCTTAAAACAATTCCAGAAATCCATTTTTATTCATACTTTGATTTCATACTTTGATTCACTTTGTGAATCATTTTTTTAACCTTAATTTATATAGTATGTTCTAGATTCCTTAAGATAAAATATCTAAAGTATTTAAAGAGAAAATAAGAATGATCTTGGTCAACTGTGCAGAAATGTTTAACTAAGACCCTGTATGTTTCAGTGTAACCTTGAGCAGGATTTTACAAGGGGAAAAAAGCAAAAATGTGGCAGTGTTTGTATTATAAAATATTTATACTGATTTTATAACTTCTCTTTTGAAATTATCTGTAAAGCCAACTTTGGCCCACTCCGAGGAAAATTGGCCTCATTTCTGACCCCATTTGTTAGCACCTAGTCTAATCACCTACTTCATTCACAGCTTAGGTCTTGTGTGACTTTAGACTAATTTAAGGAAAAAAATAGAAATGACCTTCAAAAGATGAGGTTTTCCTTCTTTCCAGTGTGGATAGTCCATGCTGTCTGAAGGGAATTCCAAATGCAGAGCTTCTGGGTCAGTGATCTATTATTAGTGTGAGCCTGTAACTTCGCAAGGCTATGGCTGTGGAAGGAACAGCACTCATTCAGATGTTTAGATTCTGTAATGCTTGTTTCCATCCAAACCTGTGTTCCTGTTTGGCTTTCTTTAGTATGTTTCCCCCCTAGGAACAAGACTTGCTTTACACTATCATGAGCTATAAGAGATCACAGAAAGTGATCATTTGTTTGTGAATTCCCTCATTTAACAAATACTTAAATATTGGGAATACAGCAATGAATAAAAGGTAAACCTCTCATCAGATTTTCAACCTAATTGTAGTTCTTCCTAATGGAAAATTTACTGGAAGATTGATAAAAATCCCTTCCCTCCTTCCCTTCCTCCTTCCCTTCTTCCCTTCCATCTTGCCCTCCATCTTTTCCTTCCTTCTTGCCCTTCATTCCTTCCTTTCCTTTCTCCCACCTTCCCTCCCTCCCTTTCCTTCCTTCCTTCCTTCCTTCCTTCCTTCCTTCCTTCCTTCCTTCCTTCCTTCCTTCCTTCCTTCCTTCCTTCTTTCTCTTCTTCTCTCCCTCTCCTCCTTCTCCCTCTCCTCCTTCTCTTCCCTCTCCCTCTCTCCTCCCTCTCCTTCCTTGCTTCCCTTGTTCCTTCCCTCCCTTTCTCTCTCCCTTTCTTTTTCCTTCTTTCCTTCCTTCCATCTTTCTCTTGGCAGTACTGGGATTTGAACTCAGGGCCTTGTGGTAAGTACTCTTTAACAACTAAAGCCACATCTCTCTAGCCCTTTTTCATTTAGTTTGCTTTTTGGCAGATAGGGTCTAGCAATTATGCCCTGCTGGCCTAGGACTATTCCTCCTATTTCCATCTCCAGAGTATCTGGGATTACACATATCCATCCCTTTGCCTAGCCTAGTACCCTTCTTTCTTTAGCCACATTTATAACTGTTAGATTTTTCAGAAGCCTTTTGTAATTCTTGGCTGTGCATAGCGTGCTTTGTAAAAAGGGGAAAGAAATTCAACAGATTAAGAACCTATTCACAAATTGAGTCCATGCCTCACTTTTATAGATACAAAAACTCATTGTGAATATTAGACATAAAAGGACAGACTTTTGAGTGGGTATAGAGCAACTATTATTACAGTCATTTGTTGGAAAGATGGTAAGTTTCTAGAAAAGTTCTGTGGAAACACAGTAAAATCAGACCCTAGGACAGATAGACAGGCAAAGTGTCACAGAAATGAGAGATATTACTTCTTTCCTGAATCATAAAACCAGTCTAAGTGGTTAAAATTTTGAATACCTTTTATCTTTATTTTTATTTTTTACTGTTGTTTAGTGTATGCGTGTGTGTGTGTGTGTGTGTGTGTGTTGGTGTTTCTCCTAAACTAGCTTCTAAAACCCTTAAGTTTATCTTTATCAAGGATGATATGTTCTTCCAATTCTTGGATGCTTTCTACCATGATAAAATTTGTGCTCAGAGTAACAAGGTAAGTCCAAGGTTAGATTTCTGTAATCTAATAAGCTAGAACAATCAGAGCAATCTTTGTACAGGTCAGTCATTAAATTGAATTTCTTTTTCCTTACTTAGGATCCTCGGTTCAATGCTGAAGTTGACCAAATTACAGGCTACAAAACTCAGAGTATTCTTTGCATGCCAATTAAGAATCACAGGGAAGAGGTAAGCCAATTTCTTTTTTCATTTCAGAAAAGGTCATTTAGAAATACTTTTTGTTTTGACATAATTTTTTACATTTATGAAATAATGACAAGTTAGCATTTAAGTTAGCATATAAGGTACTTAAATGCTCCATTTGGCATTTCTTTTACTAAGTTATGAACTTTGGCTTTGCAAAAAATTTAATATATGCTATTACGTCCCTTTCTTCTTCCCTTACTTATTATTAGATATATCATGGCTGTGGTTAGAATGAACTTACTTTGCATTATGTTTTGTATGTCTGAATAATTCTCATTAATGGTCACTCAGTTGTGGTAGATTTCTTTGAATTTACATTAAGATTCTGGAGGAAAAAAAGGAAATTAGTGGCTAATTCTAATCATATACATGTAGATGTGATATTATAACAAGCAAATGAAAACATGTTGGTTTACATTTTACCTAACGAGCAGATTTAGATTTTATTAGCACTGCATTCTGTTTATTTTATACTTATATTTGAAAAATTTATAGTTGATAAATGATCCATGAAATAGAATGCTTGATTTGCACATTCTGTAACCTAACTGCACATTACAAGCAAATAGGAAGTCCTAAAAGATCACAAATTATAGTGTTATATGGCAATTAGATTGTGAGATATAGAGAAGTCACATTTTGAGAGGTCAGATTGGGAGTCTTTATTAGAAAGTCAGTGACTTCAAGCAGACACATTTCCCCAAAAAACTTGCAACCTTGAATACACTTAATACTGTTAGAAACTGAGCCTTGAGGGCAGGAGAGTAAAGAAAGAGCAGAAAAACAATCTCAACAAACCTGATCAACTTTTAATAGAGAGGGACACCATGGTGATCTGAGAAAAGTCAGGAGACAGGAGCTGAGCCGGTCAGGGCATAAATAGGGTCATGTGGCAGAGTTCCAGGAAACTCGAGAGTTCAAAGAGTCTCACAAGTTCCTGGTATAGTTCTGGCGGGTCCAGCGACCTATTGTCCAAATCCTCCCCCCCCCCTTGTCCCTCCATCACCTGGGATTGGTACTTTACCTTCATCCACCAAGAAGCCAAGATGGCTCCAGTTAGACCCGATGCCCTATCATCCACCACATTGCCAAGATGGCTCTAATTAGCCCCAGGATCCTTACTTCAATAGGAGTCAGGGTTCTACCAATCAACAGGGTTGATAAGATATGTATAAATACATCACAGAGGATTTATTAATGGAATTGAGTCATATAATCAGGTGCCAAAAGATGTCCTGACCTGAATTTAAGCTGGAGAGCCAGGAGGCAGGTGGTGTAGTTCTGAGGACCTAAGGACCTGGAGAGTTGCTGCAAGCCTAAGAATCTAGAGATCTGACATTTGAGGGTGGGGGGAGAAGTCCAGAAAACATGGCAAGTTTCCTCTCCCTCCTAAGGGGCCCCTCATGGATGGGCCAGTGGCACACTGGCCCTGCTCTGCAGATTCTGACATGCTCCCTCAGACACACCCAGAAGTAATGCTCTCCTCGCTGAATGGGCATCCCTGAACCCAGGCAAGTTAACACATAAAATCAACTATTAACAAAAATTAAATCAGATTCTAGTTGCTCATATATTTGTATAGCTCCCTAAAGAATTCTAAAGTACAGCCAGGGCTGAGAGTGCTTGGTAAAAGCAAATAGACAGAAACAGCCCATGTCAGTTGTTCTTAACCATAAGTGCAAACCACAGTCACCTGGGGAGTAATTTATTTATTTATTTTGTCGGTTGTGGCCTGGGCGCTGTCCCTCAGCTCTTCAGCTCAAGGCTGACACTCTACCACTTGAGCCACAGCGCCACTTCCAGTTTTCTGGTGGTTTATTGGAGAAAAGAGTCTCATGGACTTTGCTGCCCAGGCTAGATTTGAACCATGATTCTCAGATATCAGCCTCCTGAGTAGCTAGGATCACAGGCATGAGCCACCAGTGCCTGGCTTACTTTATGTAGTCTTTTGAGGAACTGCCACACTGATTTCTAGAGTGGATGGACAAGTTTACACTTCCACCAACAGTGCAGTAAGGTTCTTTTTTGGCCACATCCCCTCCAGCATCTGTCATTATTAGATTTTTTGATTATAGCCATTCTAACTGGGGTAAGGTAGAATCTCAATGTCGTTTTGATTTGCATTTCTTTTATAACCAGAGAAGTTAAACATGTCTTCATGTGTCTATTGGCCATTCTTATTTCCTCTTCAGAGAAGTCTCTAAGTCTTCAATCCATTTATTAATGGGGCAGTTGTTTCTTTGAGGATTTGTTGTTGGAGGATTTAATTTTTTGAAGTATATTTTAAATATGAGGCCCTTGTCTGTTGTATGGCCAGTGAAGATCTTTTCCCAATCCGTGGGCTTTCTACTGATCTTCCTAGCTGTGTCCTTTGCCATGCAGAAGCTCTTCAGTTTCATGCAATCCCATTTGTCCAACCTTTCTCTGATTTGTTGTATTTCTGGATCTTTATTAAAATTAACTGCAAACCACAGTCACTTGGGGAGTATTTTTTAAAAATTCTAATCTGGATGCTGGTGGCTCACACTTGTGATCTAGCTACACAGGAAGCGGAGATCTAAGGATTATAATTCAAAGCCATCTTATTTAGGAAATACCTTGAGACTCTTAGCTCCAATTAATCATCAAAAAACTTCAAGTGGAAATGTGCCTCAAGCAGTAGAGTGCTAGTCTTGAGGACAAAACTCAGTGATATTACCCAGGCCCTGAGTTCAGTCCCCAGGACTGGCACACACACACACACACACTCTCTCTCTCTCTCTCTCTCTCTCTCTCTCTCTCCACACTGCCCAGGCTTTCCCTTACAGTGAATCTCTGGAATTGGGACCCAGGTTATTGGTATTTCTTAGAACTTTAAGTGATTGCATTGTATGCCCAAGGTTGAGAATCATTTCTAATCATATTGATTTTAAATCAAAAGCAGAAGTGGCCTCCACTTTTTAATGATTTGGGCTAACATTTTCTTGACATTATGTAGGTGTGAAAGCAATGCATATTCAATAGGAAATATACCTTGAATGTTGAATTTTGATCTCTTTCTGGGGTAGTGATACTGTAGAATACTGGCTATGTTCGACAGAGGCAGGAGCTGATAATTCTAGTCAGCCCACAAACCAGCCAAATCTCCCTCTTTCTCTCTTTGTCTCTCTCTCTCTAGATATAGATATAGCTCAATCGACATTTAGATTTACAAATATGTAGATAGATAATGATAGATCTGTATCTATATCTGTATACATATATGATTTATAGATATATGATTCATGTGTATATTTATGATTTATATATGATGTATGTGATTTATATTCATATGATTCGTGTATGTGATATTTATGATTTATATATGATATATGTGATTTATATTCAGATTTTGTCATCTATATTTTGCTAGTACTGGGGCTTGAATTCAGGGTGTCATGATCTTACTTGGCTTTTTCCCATGAAGGCTGTTGCTCTACCACTTGGTCACACCTCTGCTTCTGGCTTTTTGGTGGTTAGTTGGAGATAAGAGTCACATGGGCTTTTCTGCCTAGGCTGACTTTGAACCTTCGATCCTCAGATCTTTGACTCCTGAGTATTTAGGATTACAGGAGCAAGTCACAAGTGCCTGGCTTCAAATTCTGACATCTTTTTGCTTCTCTTCCATTCAGTCAGTGACCACATTCTGTTGTTGTAACTTTAGTTCTTTTTCGCTGTTTCTTACCCCATGACTTGGATTTTGAAGCAATAGCCAAGCTGTTTAAATGTTCTCAGAGGGAGTTTCTTTGTAAGGGTTTAATTTCCTTTCATTTTAACTTGCACTCCCTTGCCTTGGGTGTTTTCCTAAAAGACAGCTAGCTTTCTTGCTTGGTTGCTCTTTCTTCTCTTCTCTTTTGTTTTCTTTTTGCAGGTCCTGGGGTTTCAACTCAGGGCCTAGGTACTGAGCTACTTTTGCTCAAGGCTAACACTCTGCAGGCCACAGCTCCACTTCTGGCTTCTGCTTTTTTTGATAGTTAATTGGAGGTAAGAGTCTCACAAACTTTCCTTCCTGGGCTGGTTTCAACCAGTGATCCTCAGATCTCAGCCTCCTGTGTAGCTAGGATTACAGGTGTAAATCTACAGGTGCTTGGCCTATAGCTAGCTTTCTAAGTCAGTGCTTAGGTCTTGCATGTGGCACAGATATCTGTTAGGGTATCTTGCTCATTGTTAGGGTTCAAATTCTGAATGTCTAGGCTGAATCTGAGATTGTTTTCTGACAAGCACCATACTGACCATGCTCAGGTTTTGAGAATTACAGTCTAATCAGAGTTGCTAGGACAGTTACAATTTAATAATCAAAAGTGAGTTCTTTGACCAGGTACCAGTAGCTCACACCTGTAATCCTAACTACTCAGGAGGCTGAGATGTAAAGATTATGGTTTGAAGCCATCCAGGGCAGGAAAGTCTGTGAGATTCTTACCTCCAAAAAAAAAAAAGCAAAAGTAGAACTGTGGCTCCAGTGGTTAGAGTGTTAGCCTTGAGCAAAAGGCTCAAGGACGTGGCCCTGAGTTCAGGCCCCAGGAAAGGCACAGGAGGCTAGTTCCACTGGTAGTTACTAAAACCAGCTGTAGCTATGACACAAAAGTGACTTTGATTAACCAAATGAGTGAATGAATGAATAAATAAAATTCCAGCTTTGCATAGACTGATGATGAGAGTGCTATTCACAGGTGCCAGATTCATCAAATTGAAAATAAGCGGCCCATTCAATGTTTGTGATCTCATTATACAAAAAAATACTCCTTGTGATTTATCTAAACTCAAGTTTACTCAAGTTTCATGTGGCAACTGTAGATACTAAGTCAAGGATTATGTTTTTGGACACTTTAGAAGATGATTAGCTTTTAGTTAGTAAATATTCTTTAAAACCTTGCTCCCTGCAAAAACAATTTCATGTGAATGGATCTTTATACAAACCCTTGAGCTTCTCTTTCTAGATAGCTTGGATATAGGGTTGGGGGCAT